CYYYCTTCTTCTTCTYCTYCYTCCTCCTYCTKATCTCTTCTTCACATACGAGAGTGAGAGAGGTTATCGGTAGGAGATACAGGCAGAGGTTATATTGGGCACATTGCCCAGGATCTGATTCGACATTTTTGGGACAGACATTGATTGGACACTCGGCAAGGGACTATTTTGGGGACTTCGCTATCGCGATCTTGGTCTACTCCCTCGCCTCCTTCTCCTTCATCTCGTCCCTTTCCCCCATCTCTCATCCGTGGCATCTCCCCATGTATATGTGTGAAGGAGGTATGTGTGAAGGAGGGACCTTTCTCCTGTGATTGCGGTCCCTCCTCCCCTCTCACATGTGTGATGTATGATGGATGTCGGGTCAGTCCAGATCAGATCAGATCTTCTCTTTAAAGTTTTCCGCTGCGCCACTTTGTGCCATCTTGAATGTATCGGAATGTACATTGCTTGTTGATGCTACGCTGACCTTGCATTGTCCATTTCAGTCCTTTTCATCACATTGCGGATCCTTGGCTCCCTACGCCTTGTCCCATTGGGCATGCGTCAGTTTGGTATCGGAGCACCGCTTGTGAATCAGGACAACCTGATCTGACACAAGCGCGGGGACAATCCAAAGATTGATTGATTGATTGATTGATTGATTGATTGATTGATCAGATTACACCAATTAGTCCCCAAAATTGCGGATTGTGACCTAACTGCTGAAATCATTTTTTTCTTCTTCTTTTTCTTGGATTTCATTTTCCCGCTATTCTCATTTGTGGAAAATCGCAATAGCGTAAAATTTGAAATTTCGTCTTTTTTTTTGAAATTCCGGTGTTGGAGGTCCAAAAATATTACGGAAAATTTTCCGATTCATCTTTTCCTTCGCAATTCCCCGTTAATTCGAAATTCCGAATTTTTTTTTCTGAAATTCATTATTTGGACGTATTTCCGAAAATCTTTTGCGTTCTTTTATTATTCACGCATTCCGGGGGTATCAGAAATTTTGAAATTTAAACGTAATTCCCAAATTCAGAAACTATTTTTTTACGGGAAATTCCTCTGCAGTCATTTGTTTTCAAACTGCGCATACTCTCACTTGAGAAATTCCGAATTTTTTTATGTTTCGGAATTCTCCGAACTTGCGGAATTTTATTATTTTTCGCAGTTCAGTTACTCGGATCAGCTCCATTCGTTATTCTTCTTTGCATCGACAGTCTGAAATTCATTTTTTTTTTTTGTTACCTGTTGTGGGGAAACATAGGAGACCTACCGAACTTGCAATTGAGAAATTTTATTAATTAATAATTTTTTATTTATCTTCTCGAAACTTTCGCAAAGTTCCTACTTTTCATTTTTGATTAGTGGCTCCTTATCTGGGCAATCCACCCGATTCCCCCACTCCCCACCTCTCCCTCCCAGCTCCTTCTCCTCTTCTTCTTGCTCAACCGCCCATCAGTACTGGCTACAGCCTTGGTAAGTCTCTACGTTTGCAGGCCACGTCAGCTGCCCGCGGCACATGACCCTGCTCACTCGTTCACAGACAGCAGGGATGGATCAGAAAGCCGGCGAGACTGACGAAGCCTATGAGGCACGGTTGGCGGCCATCATGACCGAAAGCAAGCAACGGGCAGAAGCATCAGCAGCAGCATGGAAGAAGAGGGAGGCAGAGGCCGAGAGGCTGTGTCAAGTGGCCGAAGATCAACGGGAGAAGCACGCAGCAGCAGCAGCAAAGGCCGCCGATGAAGAACGTGTACGGCAGCGGGAGATTCTCTTCAGGGAGGAAACTGCGTTACACGCACAGGCCAGGGATTGGCAGAAAGAGGCCGAGAATGGAGACCCCGTTGACTACGGGACCAGGATTGCGCTCTTGCTCAACCGCGTCACGGACCTCCTCGCTACTTGCATCGCACAGCAGGAGGACATTCACTCTCTCGACCATGCCAATCAGGCGCTGACTAAGCACATACAGCAGCTGGAGCGGCGACCAGTGGCCACCTTCAGCGCCGGCCCCTCCGACCTCGTCGACCGCGTCAACGTCTTGGAGATAGACGTGAGAACGCTCAAAACCGAGACACAATGGCTGGACCAGCAGGTGGGGGCAGCAGCCACACCGAGCTCAACGCCTCGTGAGAGCATTCCCAAATTTGAGGGGCTCCCGATCTTCTGTGATGCATCGAAGACGGAGCCTATACCTTGGTGGCGCCAGTTCGAATTAAAGCTGGACATCCACCATGTCGTCCACACAAACCGGCACGCATACTTGTACTCCCG